TCACGGTCTCTCCTGCCCGGGCTGGCTTTGAACCATGATCCTCAGATCTCAGCCTCCTGAGTAGCTAGGATTACAGGCGTGAGCCACCAGCGCCCGGCTGATATTTGTTATTTTTAAACTTTTAAATTTTATATATTATACTCTTCAGAAATGTGCTTTTGTAAATCAGTGTAGGCTGAAAGAAATCTGAAAAACATTCTAAATACTTAACTACATTAATTTAAGGTAAAGTAGTGTTTTTTTCCCCAGATATTTTATCTTGGTTCCCATTTTTTTTTTTAGCACAGTGTCTTTAATTCCTCAAAGCATAGCATAGTTCAAGCACAGAAAGAATATTATAATTTACAAGAAGCCCCGAAACTTCTGAGATGTTGATAGTATGTCTGCTTCTTGTGAGGGTATGCAGTTCTTAAAATCAAGATTTGAAAGAAAACTAAACAGACTTCATGCTGTATATTTCATTCCAACTTCTGAAGTTCAGAACTGATTGCAAGAAGTAGTGCATTCTGGAAAAGGTAAAGTTTCCGTAAAGGAAAGAATGAACATATTGCTTGTAGGTAAAACATTACAGGAGATCTTAGACAAGGATATAATTGGTCTCTATGTAAAGTATACCTGAAAGACAGGATTTATTTTGCAGTCTTGTGCCTGGCAGTTTTTGTCTTTTGTTTATGGCACTATAAAGACATAGAATTTAGAATGTACATTGTTTGCTCTTCATTACTTATGTAGAAGTCTTATAATTGTAAGTAATTTTATAGCTGATAATTTTTTTCTTTAAATTTTTCTGATTTTTTGAAGGAAATATGGAAATGGTTTGTCCTAACAGCTAATTTCTAGAACTTTGAGTTAATTTCATCAGATTTGGACTTTCTCAGCTTTTGTGTTGTATAACACTTCCTGTTTTCAAGACTTTTGGTCTTGCAAATAGCCTGTAGATTAACTTTTTACTTCTGTTCTCTCTGTCTTACTAATTTTAGTTTTATATTCACTAATGTCATAGAACTTCTATTGAATGCCATGTGCATCCAAGACTGCAGGGGTAAATTTTTCATGTTTTCTGCTTTCAGTAAGAGTTTGTTGCATGACCTGGGCAAGTCAGTAGCTTATTGTTATGCAATGTGACAAGTGCTTTAACAGCAGAAAATTCAGATAAGATTAGGACTCAGACTGCACGTATAACTGGGGATCTTCACTGGAGGACAGGCTTGTATTACTAACTCTTGAGAAACAAGTATGATGGTTGAGAGGTAGAAAAAGTGCTGATGTTAGAGACTTCATTGAAGGACTACTTAAATTCCAGTAATAGCACTTTAAATCCTACATTAGATTTTCATTAAAACATATTTTTAAAGTGGTTATTTCTTGTGCATCCAGTTGAATCTGGGCCTTGAATTGTGGCCCTGTATTAATGTTGAGGGGCTTGTTCCAGATCATTATTTAAAATTTGTATATAAGTGAAATTTTCTTTTCTTTTGGTGTTA